TCAATAACTGATAAACAGAATACTTATTAGGAAGTAAAAAGAGAGGTAAGAAAACTAGGAGAGAGTGAAATCAAGAAGCCACAGGAATAATCTTTAATAAATGAAAAAGTAGCCAGTAGGGTTGAAATTTAATGAGGGGCTAGTAGGTTGAAAGAGTAAAATTACTGGATTCATTGACACCCTTGTAAGAGCTTCTTTAGTGATGTAGTTGGTTGATTGAGACAGAGATTAGGAGAAGGAGAGAGGAAACAGGATAAATTATCTGTACCAGAATTGTGACTGTTAAAAGAAGAAAAGAAGTGTGGAAACTGGTGAAATTGATGAGATTTAGGATGCATGTGTGTATCTATCTGTCTACTCCAAAATGGTAGGAGCCTGAGCCTATTTGAATAGCAGTGAAGGACATTTAATAGGGAGGGAAATTTTAATATAAATTTAACATGTGGATGAAAGAAGGTGGATAAATGAGAGTAGGAGAGGACGGGATCCAAACTGCAGGTGGTGAGACTAACATCTCCTCTAGAGCAACAGGGCACAAGGGACCTGCAGTGCCTTAGCCAGCACTCTCTCGGTSGTCTTATTGTGTTCTATCTTCTCTTTCCCTGAGTACTTAACCTTTTGTTGTTGTTTTACAAGAATGTGTTCTGGGAGTGGATGAAGTGGGTTTTATGATCTCAAAGCAACAGTGAGAAACAGAACTCCATCTCTGCCTTTTACTGCAAGCTGGTCTGGGAGGTTTTGGAGAAAAGCTCTACAGTGAGCAGACTGCAGGAGAGGCAGCCCTAGCAGGTTTCCGCTAGGAAAAGTGGTGCATGCAGAGAATACCTGGAGGTGTAGGGGACTGGATGTTCCTAGGGGCACAATAGAAGATTTGAGTGGATGCTGATGACTAAGAAAAGGTTTATTGAGATTGGGAAGGAGATCATTTTAACATAAAATTAAACAGTTTAGAAGTAGTTTAGCAGAATGGTGGCAGTCACAGCAAAAGACTGTAAGTGGAAGGCGGACTTCTGTTCAAGGAATATGACTGAAAGGGAAAGTGGGGGGTGTGGTTCAAATYCCCTCTCTCCCTTTTTTTCTTCTTTAACTCAGCTAATGACCTATGTAATTTCATTTTTATTTTTTTTTCTCAACATGAACTTTACTTGGATTGACTTCCTGTACATAATGCTTTCTTAAGCTTCTTTCTTCTTTGAATTCTGGCATTTACCCTGTCCAGAATGTCCTTTAAAAATCCATTTCTATCTATGTGAATACAACTCTTGTGGTATGACCCATTAATATCTACCTCGAGGGTTTCTCTTTGTTTTTTAGTTTTCTCTTTGAAATAACTCATAATTTTTGTAAAACCATTTGGAAAATATGTAAAATCATCACGAAAAATAAAATCACATCTATTACCTTAGCTTCAGAGATAACATTGTATATATTACTGACACTAATACTTTTTGAATTAATGTTATAAAGTCCTTTCTGTTTCACTGAATATTTATAACAAACTTTTTTTTGAGGGGAGGTACCAGGAATTGAACCCAGGGGTAGTTAACCATTGAGCTACATCCCTAGCCCTTTTTATTTTATTTTTTTTATTTTGAGACAGGGTTTCACTAAGTTGCCTAAGGCCTCACTAAGTTGCTGAGGCTAGCTTTGAACTTTCAATCCTCCTGCTTTAGCCTCCTGAGCTACTGGGATTAGAGGYGTGTGCCAGTATGTTCAGCTAACAAAGTTTTAATGACTATCTAATATTCCTTGGTATAAATGTGTCATAATTTACTAACCATTCTCTTAATATTAGATAATTTAGATAATTCCCAATATTTAATTATACATTAGACATGAAATTTTACGTAAATACTTGTATACATAGTTACCATTAAGGCAAAAATCCTATAAACATCAAATCAAGGGATAGGATTGTTTTTCTAAAGGCTCCAGATATATCAGGTGGATTATTTTCCAACAAGAATGTGAGTTACCCTTCTACAAGCAGCATATGAGTGGATAAGCTATAACTCTTGTCAGCAGAGAGAATTTTCTAATATTCAATTAGAATATTGAATATTCTGGGTAGAAAAAAAATTGGCTTTTCATTCAGGTTTTCATCTGTATTTATTTGATTATTTGTTAAGTTGAATACTTTTTCTTATAATCATTGACAACTGGATGTTTTCTTCTTTGCCCTTTACCCATAAAAATGTAATATTTTAAATTTATTTATAAAAGATTTTTCATATTGCTAATTTAAGATTTTTACATGCAAATTCTATTTCTCATGCCTTATATTTGTTGTTGTTTTCATCCTATTGTTTTTCCAGTGATTTAAATTGCATCTATCATAATCTTTATAGAATTCTCCATTCTCTGTAATAGCACTGCATAGTCTCACCCTAGAATCTTAAAATTTTAATTTAACCACTATATGACCCAGCTATGCAAATCCTCTGTAAAGAAAGTTGTCATAGTATGGTATACATGCATACCCATGTTTACAGCCGCACAATTCATGATAGCCAAACTATGGAACCAGCCTAGGTGTCCATCAATGGATGAGTGGATAAAGAAGTATGGTATAGGTCAGGTGCAGTGGCATATGCCTGTAATCCCAGTGGCTAGGGAGGCTGAGGCAGGAGGACCACAAGTTCAAACCAGCCTCAGCAACTTAGAGAGGCCCTAAACAACTTAGTGAGACCTTGATTCAAAATAAAACATAAAAAGAGCTAGAGTAAAAAAAAAAGTGTGGTATATATACACAATGGATATTTATTATTTATATTTATTCAGCCACAAAGATAAATGAAACTATATCATTTGCAGGAAAATGGATAAAACTTGAGGTCATTATGTTAAGTGAAATTAGCCAAAATTAAAAGGTCAAGGGTTGTATGTTTTCTCTCATATGTGGTGCTAGAGAAGAACAAAAAGAAAGGTAGGGGGTGATCACATGAAAAGCAAAGGAAGATCAGAGGAAAGCTAGGAAGTGGGGAGGAGGGTGGAAACACTGCAGAGAGATATGGGCCAAATGATATTGTTATATTATGCACATGTACTTAAGAGAAGCCACACGTGTCAGATACAGGAAATATGTCACAACAAATCCCAGCATTATACAAAACTGTGATGCACCAGTAAAGATAAAAAAATTAAAAGATCAAGAAGAAAATAGGGAATTTTTTTTTAAAAAATTCAGTCTTGATTGTCTTGTATAGTCCTTTAACTTTCATATTTCTTCCATATTAATGTATTATTGCCAGAGAAAAAGTTCTTAAGAAAAAGAAAGGACTGTTTTGTTACCATTCCAGGAGTCATTTATTCATACATCCCTTCCTTTTTCCCTCCCTTCCTTTCTTCCTTCTCTCTCTCTCTCTTTCTCTCTCTCTCYYYYCTCTCTCTCTCTCCTCTCTCTCTCATATTCTGTACCTCTGAACTACATACATCCTAGTCCTTTTTATTTTGAAACAGGTCTTGCTAGTTGCTGAGGCTGGCCTCAACCTTGTAATCTTACCTCACAAGATTTCCAATCAGCTTGTTATCTTATGTCTTAGTCCATTATCTGCTACTATAACAAAATAACACAGATAGGGTAATTGATAAACAATAGAAGTTTATTTGACTTACTCTTCTKGAGGATAGGAAGCCTCAGAGCCTAGCGTCAGCATCTGGTGATGTCTTTTCATACTTAGTCATAACATGGCAAAAGAGAAGCAACACACRTAAGATACAGGAAATTCTAGCCAAATTCATTCTTTTCATCAGGAACCCAATACTTCACTAACTAACCCACTCCCACATGAGGACAGAGCYCTCAAGGCCAATTTACCTCTTAATACAGTTACACTAGGGATCAGTTTCCAGTGCATAACTTTTAGGACACAGATTCAAGCATAGCAATTCCTAATTTGCTTCTGAGATTGTCATTATATACACACACCAAAATAGATAGCAAATCAACTTATTGTTAATCACTGTAACAAAAAATTGTATGTATATTTAAAGACCTAGGGCATAGATGGTTTTCTCAATACTTTCATGCTTACAGTTAAAAATTGGGGGAAAAATCCCTTGGGTATATTAAAATTATTTCAAAAGTTTAAAGATTATGTATTAAAGAAATATTCTCTTTTGAGCATTTTACTTAAATCATAGTTAAGTGAAAGGTGGTGTGAACCATGTGATGAATGATTATTTTTCACAACAGACAACCAAGTTTTCTGAGCACACTGGCTTTGCAAGGATTTATAGTTCCCTGCCTTCATGCTGAAGTTACTTCAGCTTCCMGTGATGCATTCCAACTAATCTGTAGGTTAAGGCATTCCTTGATCATGGATAGATCCRATTGCTACTCAGCCCTGGAATTCTTTATAAAATTCCAGAACTTGGGCTAGAAATTGACTTAGGGAATCCAATAAAGTTGCAAGTCTTGGCAGTCGTCCAAGCTAAATTTATAGACTGGAAGAAATATGGGCTTTCCATTGTTCTCTTTTTCACCTTTGTGAGGTTTCTTTTATGTCTATGTGAGTGTGTGAGTGTAAATTTATCATTTTGCTGACATCGAAGTGGAAATAATCATTGAAGGAATCCAATCCAGCTAAAAAGTTTTCACTTTGGATCTTCTCAGGTCTTTCCAAACGTTGACCTAAAGTTGCACCAAGAGTGAATTTCTTCTCCCTTTGTAGGATGTTGATGTCATGAAAGAAGTTGTTCTTGAAAATGAATCATGCAAATATAATAGCTGACATGCACGTCTGCCAGCTAGGTATAACTCCCAAGTTTCTGTTCTTCCCCTGGCTCTGTGGGAGCCTTCTTTTTGAGACATGATCTGAGAAAGTGTGATCATATGTATTGTTTCTATCCATTCTGCAATATGGTAATAGGGGCAAGAAAACAAGATCAGGAGCATCTAAGAGACAGTATTTTAAGTGTGTACCTAATGTTCTGTAGGGTGTAGACATCCAAGCAAGCCCCTCATATCTGGCCACTGAAAACCTGTCTTGTTCTTACAGAATGGGTTTGCTGTTGTGAGGCCCCCAGGCCATCACGCTGAAGAATCCGCAGCCATGTAAGTACCAGGAACTGTTGCCCATCTCCAAGCGCCACGGTTCCTGGCGGTCACCTGCCCCATGCATGTTTCTGAAGCCTCTAATTGTTAGCAGATGGACTGAAAAATCTTGCGAGGTACTCCCAGAAGCAGATTTATGGCTTCAGAGATCATATAGCATTTTAAAAAATGCTCTGAACATTATTTATAATGGTTTTCCTGGATGATTTGCTTTCTTATTTCTCTGTTCTTCTCTATTCCACAGGGGGTTCTGCTTTTTTAATTCAGTTGCAATTACCGCCAAATACTTGAGAGACCAACTAAATATAAGCAAGATATTGATTGTAGATCTGGTATGTATTCCTGGCCAGTGCTGCGTTTCCAGGGACTCTAGATAAAAGGAAGTGGATTTGTATTTCTCTGTTAGGTTGTCTTGCYTTTAGCACTTGCAAACAACTGAAGGGTGTGTTTCCTTTGAATGTGGAAACTCATTAAATTCAGGATTGCAGTTCTGAAACCATAAACATTCACGTTTCACTTTCATGGTGTTAACTGCAATTTAATGAGAAGAAGGCGCAGATCAGGGCAACTTTTATGATCCTTAAATGAATTGATACTTCCACAGTTAAAATAACCCAACAGAACCTGAATTTACTTTTCCCTACAGAATATAGACTTTAAATAGTCAGATGTGCTGGAAAGAATGCTGTTGCTTTGGTAACCAATTGGCCACTTCCCCTGGTTAGCAATCATTGTCGCTTGTTGTGCAACAGTGGTATTATTAAAACAAGTCAGCATGTCATTTTTTTCTGAAAAGATCTCAGATCTCAGATGCCAGTTTGGGATGACTCCCTGCAGGAACTCTGAATGATTAAAAGTCAGAGGCAGTAACTTAGTCTTGCATTTTAACCTGATGCATTCTTACACAATAGTTATAATTTGTTTAACAAATGGTTTGTTTAAATGCAGATGACACTTGGCATGTTGTCTAAAGTATATTCATGAATAATGAGCTGGAGATCTGCCCCATACAAAAAAGGACCAATCCAGGAAAGGGCGAATGAGGGCTGAATGGTGATTTATGAGCCCCGTTTTCAGTTTGCCTCCAGTTCACAAGGAGGTGTAATAGGTTGTCTGACAAGGCATAGACAGGAAATGAACCCTGGCATCCAAACCGAACCTGCTACATCTGCACTTAATTAATTTTTGCAGGTGATAAAAGATTTAAAGGCAAAATATGTTAAAGGTTTTTTTGAAGTGCAAGGCTTAATAGTCTAAATCTTGTTCATATCTGCACTCATAATTAAATCTTATTGGAAGTCGTGGCCTCACCCTCCAGCCCTCTGATTTAGTTAAACAGGCACACCAAAGGGTTGAGAGAGCACAAACAAAGCCATGTGAAGAAATACTTAGTTAAGTTAAAATGAAGATAAAAGGAATGGAAGATAGATAACCATTTCTAGTGCTTGGTTGAAATGGATGTTTTTCACACTCGGTATTGTATCCCTCCTGTGTACAGTTTTATGCAAAGAATATCGAAGCCTAGCTTTCCATGCATTTTCCAAACATGCATAYGTTTTAGTGTAGGTCACAGTTCCCTGTTAAAAAATGTGTTGAAGACCTAGATATACTGCAGCAGCAAGGTCTTAAAATTTTTGCAAAAATAAGGACATACCATATTCATACAAAAAGGACATTTTAAGTAATTTATGACTAGTTTTGTATGAATTATAGGATATTACATTTGAAGAAATTAGTATGCTCTTGGTACTGTAAATTCTATGCTAGAAAGATAGACCAGAAATGGAAAAAGAGGATAGTAGATGAAGACCAAAGATTGTGCAAAAAGAAAAATAAATAAAATTGCTAAGCTTTTTAAATTTGTCCACATTATGTGGCAAGATGATTGATCAGCTATTCATCCTATTCTTAAGAGTCTTTCAGTGATTACTTTCTGAAAATTTTCTGTTATCATTTTATGGTTCTATGAAGATAATAAATGTTTAGGGTCCCTTTTGAAAGCACATTTGTGATATCCAACTCAAAAACAATGAATTGTAACCTAAATGCCTATCTTATGATAGACGGATACTTTGTACTTCAGAGGATTTACATGTAAAGTTTTGTTTTTGTACGTTAACATAGGAATAAAAGACTGCTGGAGATAATCTGATACAATTTATAAAATAATTTATTTGGTAGCTCCAAGTAGTTTCCTGTGAGCTTGCTGGCCTTTGATTATAAATTTGCTCCATTATCCAATCATAAAGGATGCTGATTTCCCAATAGGCTGTATCAGACGAGAAGTTTTTGTTTCAAATTCTCTAAATGTATGAAGTTCTGTCCAAAGGGTTGCCTCTGAGCTCACCACCAGCCCCCATATTCTTACTTTCAAGTCTTCCAAATTCTGCAGCTGCAGGGCTACTTTGAGGAAATTCCTGTTTCTTCCAGCTGTGGAGAAGGAAGTTTTAAAGTGCCACGTGGCTCTGAGACATCCGTTCTCTCTGGCTGACAGGTCTATTCTGTGAGTTTGCAAAGGAGACGGGGTGAAGGTTCTTCAGTGGTGGAAAAGCCTCATTCCTGCACATCCAGAGTCATTAATGTTGGCTGGTGGGTGTAAACTAGCTCCACACATTCTAGAGCCAACAAAAAGTAGGGCTACTCCATTATACAACAGCTAGTCTGGGGCTTTTCATGTGCCTAGTAAATACAGAACCAGAGTTCTTAATTCACTCCCTATCTTGGGTCACAGCCAAATTCAAATGCATTGAGCATTGTGGGCAGATATGATTCTAGTTGGTGTGTGAAGGACATTCATTCCATTTCTCCTTGTAGGAAAGAATCTAAAAACATTCACTCTATGGAGAGGGAGCAGGTGTAACAGTTTTTTAACACATTCGAGACTGGCCATTGTGTTCAGGCTATATCCTAGAAGTAGATTTGTCTACAAGACTCATGTAGCTTTTGGGTAATGTGACTTTTAATTAGAAAATAATACTTGTTAGATTTTCTTTTTTTTTTTTTTTGAAAGAATAGCTACTACAAGTGTCCTTAGAGTTGGGGAAATTCCATTTTTGTTCAAGTACATTTAGACCTTTGTTACAAATCCTTGCACTAAATAATTTTGAGTGATAACATTAGCTGGTAGAATATGTGATGTATTCAAAGCTATTTTGACATAAAATTGAAAACATATTGGTTCTAACTTCTTGTGCAGAATCCATTTTTACAGTATACTTTTTTAACCAGAGATAAGTTTTCRCATTTCCCAGCAGATCTGAGAGGCATGGTTTATTTTAAGGTTTTTAATGATTCAATTTATTTCATTTATATAATAATTTTTCATAAGCACCAATAATTTTCCTACCTTAGTCTATATATAGTATATACTTATTGTTATGAAGAAACAGGTCTCAGATTATTTTGAGTATATGTATGCATGTGGTTTGTATGAATACTTTATAGCAATAAAAACTGAAAAAATAAAGACATCTTAAAAGTTATACTGTAAGTTGTTACACAAAACAAAAAACATACTTGGATTTAACTTTATTCTCTAAATACTTAATGACTATGATACAGAATCATGGATTTCTCAAATAGTAGAATGGGTCTGTGTATTTTAATGAAGAATGTTAGTTCAAACCTTTATTACACTGTGAACAAGATTGTATTTCTTTAGAAGAGTATGGACTAATAAGTACCCAAATATTTTTCAAGAAAACATAATTTTATATCTCAAATTATCATTTTATTTGACCTTTTAAAAATAAATTTGTTCAATGTTCCTAGAGAAACAAGAGCAATCAAAGCARTATTTTTCTGATTTGCCAATTGCATATACATTTACAACCCTAAGTATTATTGTTGTATTAAGGAAATGGAAACATCTTTTCACTTATTTTTTAAGGTTTTTTTGGTCCATTCACTAGATATTTAGTAGCAAACACAAAAGTTGTTGTGGGTTAAATTGTTTCATTTTTGTTCCCATGAAGGAAATAATTTTACTATCTCTTCCTTTTCTTTGAATATTTAGAAATCCAGGAATTAATATATTTTCAGTAAGTTACTTTTTCCCCCTGATGTATATGTCTTTAGCTGGAATAAGTTTCTGAGATGATCCATATCTTCCCTAATATTATGATTTTTAGTTAATTTGGGGTAGGCATRCTATACAAAAGGTGGAAAGAATCATTGTATGTCTACTGTATGAATGACAGGCTCAGTGTAGGTTTTCAGAAAATACCAAAAGGAGGCTTTGGTAGTGTCTAGTGAAGCASTTCCAGGCTAGAGGATGGAGTGGAGACAAGTTAAATAAATCTCAATAATGAGAAATAATGTCCAATGACTTCACCTTTCAAATTTGCYAAGAGGACCAAAGAGAAAATGGGTCTGAATTTAACTGTGATAATTAAGAATTTTTCATTTAGAGTAAGAAATGAATTCAAGACTTAGTCTTCCAGCTTACTCTCTATATCCTCTTAGTAAATTACTGAAACTCTCTGTCATTTTTCTTATTCTTTAAATTAGGGCTAATATCACATACACCATAATAATCAATAAATAATTCATGCAACATATTTAGTATAGTGCCTCACTTCAAAATTATTTGAATTATTTTTAAAAAATAGTGTGATTCTTACTAATGTAAAACATGTAGTTGCAAATTATCAAAACTTTTTATAACAGAACCAGAAATTATATACTTTGTAGGTTAATGACATAGCAATAATATTTGCCTGAACCCTAATGCATAGATTATCATCATTTCAGAGTGTTCTATTTTATTTTTGTTCCAAAGATAGTAAGCATTTAACTGTAGTTCTTAATACCTGTAAAGACATTAAAGACATTTTTTAAAAAAAATGCTGTAAGTTTTATTTTGCATTCTTGTATTAATTCTGACCTGTTTATATTAAAACAACAACAACAAAAAAGAACTATCAAGTTTGTATCCATTATCATATGCAAATATCTGAAGAATGTTTCATTCATTTTAATGAAACAGGCTTTTATTTTTATTTTTTTAGTTGGAAGGGGGAGTGGTATGGAAATAGAAAAGGAAAAAAAAAGATCAGGAGGAAAGCTGGGAAGAGAGCCATGATATAATATTAAAATTAAGCAGATTAGACAAGATTGCACAAAGCCCCATCCCATCTTTCTGCTTGGGCCCAAATGATTTAAGAGCTAATGAGCTCATACTCCCTGTGTCTTTGACTCTTGCCGTCACAATTTTACCAAAATGAAGTATGAAGTCCTTTTTTGCATCTGGCACCTCTTTTGAAGTGACTCTAACTGCTGAGGGATTGCTAACCGAACTGAATGCTTCAAGAAAGCCAATTTATTCAGCTGGTTGCAAAGCCTTTGACCTTAATGGTGGGACTTGGCAAATCAATGCATACACGTATGTTTAGTGTTCTGTCAAGAATTGCGAAAATGCTCTGTAAGCCATAGATCCTTCTGCAAAATACTAGTTTGTAGTTTAAACATTAGTCTTTTTTTCAGGGGCCAATGAGGCCAGTTAATTAAGCCTGAGGGGTTATGAACTGTTGGCAGTTAATAAGTCATAAAATTCCTCCATAAAACAGGATGCGAGATTCCATCACTGAAGCAAAGAGTACAAAGGGCCGGTGTATAAATATCTAATTGTACCAAAGGACTGGGCTTTTTCAATGACTGCTCATCTGGAGTCTCCAGGGCATGCTCGCTGTGGTTTCCTGATTTTTAGAAGCCAGTTTAAAAAATGAGTGCATTAAAGGGTAATTTGCCTGAAAGTTCAGGAAGTAAAGGGGGTGGTGTGGAAGCAGGCTGAATGGAAGAAAGAAAGAGAGGGACACAGTGAGAAGACAGAAAATGAGAAGGAGGGTGGGGTAGGAAGACAGGGAACTAGAAATCAGAAAGGTTGTCTCCATGCAGAGTTAGACATGACTGTATGTGTCATCTGTTTTCTTTTCCCTGTAGGATGTTCACCATGGAAACGGTACACAGCAGGCCTTTTATGCTGACCCCAGCATCCTGTACATTTCACTCCATCGCTATGATGAAGGGAACTTTTTCCCTGGCAGTGGAGCCCCAAATGAGGTTCGGTTTATTTCTTTAGAGCCCCACTTTTATTTGTATCTTTCAGGTAATTACATTGCATGATTACCCCTAATTTTCTTGTCCTTTGCTGGTGTTTTAAATTACATGAGATTACTGAATTGTCCCACAGGACTAAGATCCAGTGCAGAACAAGTGCAGAACCCAGAGCACTGGTTGTCAAGCCAGGCTGGGCTGATTTGACACGTTGTTTGATGTTTATTTCAAGAGGTCCCATGTGCTTGTTTTTCCTCTCTGCTTGCTTTCTTCCCTTTGCCCTCTTCTCTACCTACTCTGGTGTTTTTCTCTTCCCAGGTTGGGACAGGCCTTGGAGAAGGCTACAATATAAATATTGCCTGGACAGGTGGCCTTGATCCCCCCATGGGAGATGTGGAGTACCTTGAGGCATTCAGGTTGGTACTTCTTTCTTTCTGAAAATGMCCAATTAGAAAACAAATGTCCATTGGAACAGCACCAAATGTGAAAGAGAAACATAAATTTCTAAGTAAGGTGAAGTATCACTAAAAGCTATGTAGGACTATGTGTAAGAAAAAAAAAAAGTATATCAAGACCTAATTGTATTTATGCAGGTATATTGGCCAATGGCCCAGACATATACTCTCCAATTCCCTCAAAGAAAGGGCGCAAAGACTTTATTTTTAAATAGTTCTGTCTGGAAAATTCTGCCTATTATAACACATGACGTGATTTACAATAGACATTAGCATATTAAATATTCTGAAAAGTCCTTCACTACCTATTTAACTGTGCTGAACAGGTATTTCCCAAACTCCACTGGACTCAGATCCCTGTTTTACACAGCTAGGTTGGCATTCCTCGTTCTGAGGAGCCAGCTTACCTCAGGAACAGAGGCCGTGGCTATCTCATTTTATGGCAGAGTTAATGACTTCTGTATGTTTTCCCTCTCACATTAAGACATTAACCAATTAATTGGCTGTTTTCAGTTTCTATGGAGTAAATGAAATGTATCCATAATGCATTCTGCTACTTTCTTTTTCTCTCTTTGAAAGCAAAGAATTTTAAAAAATAATTTAAACATGTTTTTTTTTTTTTTTTTTTTTTTTTTAGAAATGTAACTTAAGAAAGGGCAGTTAAAAATTTTAAAAAGTTCGGTCTTTGGAAAGGTGTCTGTTTTAAGAAGAAATGTCAGAATGTGTCAATATGAGCCTTGCTGGCAAGATTTTAGAAGGAGATTTTAGCATGTCGGTAATACCTAATTGCTTAGATRTTTAGTTAAAAGTAAAAGCAAACAACTGCATGAAAAGAAATATGAGAACTTCAGAGTTTTGAAATTTACCATTTATAAATTCCCAAGAATTAAAATCCTATTAATATTGTATTTGAGACTTTGGGAAATAATGGGAAATTTTTCCAATATATGTAATTTTAATGGGATTCTACTGTCTTATGTGTCATGCTTACTTCATTTTCTCACTTAAAGATGACTTCCCATTAGAAAAGTCATCCAGGAAAAGTGACAGTAACTATTTAGTTACTCTAAAGATGCATTTAAATTAAATATATTTGGCTTGGTATTGAAGATAGAAAGGAAAATTCTACCTACATTATAGATATTTGGGAAACAAATATACACAGCAATGTCTACAATATTTATTTTAAAAGAGCTGAAATAATGTAAACTTGGGTTGTGTAGGAAGATATTTTGCTTTAATTAGCAGTAAAATATCTGAATATTATATTAAGAAATAATAGGGGTCTAAGTGTTATAAATTTTCTTTTCCTATATTTGGAACTTCACAAACAATATTATTTTGTGTAAGGTAGCTTTTCTTCACTGTGACCAAAATACCCAACAAGAACAACCTAGAKGAGGAAAAGTTTATTTTGGCWCACAGTTTTAGAGATTTAATCCATAGTGTACTGACTCCATTGCTCTGGGCCCAAGGAGAGGCAGAACATCATGACAGAGGGCATGGCAGAGGACCACGGCTCATCCATGTAGGTCAGGAGACAAAGAGGACAGGGGAAGTGTCTGTAGCAAAGATGAACCGTTCTGGGCAATTCTCCCAGTGACCCACCTCCTCTCGTCATGCCCACCTGCCCAGTGGTACCACCCAGTCAGTCTATTCCAATGAGGATGGGCTGATTAGGTTACTGTTCTCATAACCTAATCAGCAACCTTTGACTATTGCATTATTAACACAGGAGCTTTCTGGGGAYACCTCATATCCAAACCATCACGATGTCTCAAAGGAATCAGAGAATAGACTTGAATACATATGATGTATGAATTTGTCTGCTTCCCAAGTTAACCTGGTAACTTGAATGATATGAATTAATTCTYAGTCTCACTATAGCATAACATCATATCCATTGATCTATAATACAGATCAGATTTCCTGGTATTGTAATATTACTTGTGACATAGCTTTTATATAAAAATGTATTGTGTATGCACAACAGTGAAGGACAGTTTATATTTTGTGCCTGTTACTTCTCATATTAGAAAGTGAATGGTGAATGAACACAATAATTTTTACTAAATAATATGAAAACAGATATAAGTGCACAATACTGCTTTTTAATTGAAATGGTAAGTAAATTACATTTTCCTGAAAAGTGGCTGTCCTCAAGAACAGCACATCTCTGGGCCTGAAATGTAGACCGTTTATATTAGCAAAATTTTCTGAACTCCCCAGTAAGTAGTACTTGAATTTAAGTAGAAAAGTGTCATTATTTACACTAAACTGTAAAAGCTTAGAATTGCTGGGTTTTGTGTATGTGTGTTCATAGTTATTCYAGATTTAAACTATAATAATCCTATTAATTTTAAATTATATCATATCTGCTATTCAATGTTCATGCTCAGAAATACCTGTGAATTTTTTTATGGAAGAATCAAGAAAATAAGGCATTCATTCAAAAAATATTCATTGAACATGTCTGCCAAGCATGGTGGTGAGCACTTGGAATTCAGAACTGTCTTTGCTCCCAGGGATCATTATAGAAGTGGTATTTATTGTTCTAAGGAATAGCAGTGCTTAGACAGAATAGCAGTGCATAGACAGAATAAAATACATAACTATTTCTGAAAAATTTCAGGTAAGGCTTCATCAAATATTGTTCAACCTGTGTTTTAAGTATGAGTAGGAGTTTATGGGGGGCAATTAGAGTAGGGAGAAATTCACACTAGGCAGAGAGGATACACTGAAAAATATGGAGTCACAAGAGTTATGAAGTATTCTTTTTTTGTTGCCTCAAGGGCATGAGGGTGAGATTGATGGAAGGAAAATGGATCATACTTCATAAAGTCTTTTACCCATCTTTGTCTATGATTATCGTCTGTCTGTCTGTAAGATAGATTTCCCATAATTTTTGATGTAGTATTATTGTATAAGCCTACTGATATCTTTTGAAAATGTCCCCCAAGGGTTCATGTGTTAATGGTGTGGTCCTCAGCTGATGGTAATATTGGGAGATGGTGAAACCTGTAGAAGGTGGAGTCTAGTGGAAGGAAGTTAAGTCAGTTGAGGGTATGTGCCTTGCTGGGGATATTAGGACCCCAGCCCCTTTCTCTCTTTTTCCTTCTGGACTCCATAACATTGGGAGTTTCTTCTCCCAAGTGAATTCTGCCATGATKCTCTGCCTCATCATAGGCCAAAAGCAATAGGGCTGAGGAATCATGGACTGAAAACTCTGAAATCATGAGCCAAAATAAACCTTTATGCTTTTTAAGTTGATTATCCCAGGTACTTTGTCACAGCGATAAAGAACTAACACATTCATCCTTCTTAATACAATCATTGTTTCTCAGTATTAAAATGGAAGATCATTCTGGCATGTGTGTGTGTGTGTGTGTGTGTGTGTGTGGGTGGGTGGGTGCAGGAAATGGAGGTAGGGAGTAAACAATGAATTTTCTAATTTCTTATTTTTTAATAATTTTTAGAATATGATAAGTATCTTCTGAAGGGAAGCTTCATTGTCTGTAAAGCTACATTTATAGTGGGATATAAGATGGTTACTTCTTTTACTAGCCAAAAATTGACATATATATCATATATATGGTTTCTGTTACATGCTTTTTCTATGATAAAAGTAAAATTGTTGGCAAGCCAACATTTTCATGTTTGCTATGAGCTTTAAAGATGATTTTTATGTTATTTCAGATAACTTCTTATTTTTTCCAAGCAGTTGTCATTCATCCCTGAAATAATTGAAGGGTATACTTAAATTTTTCATGAGAGTTTTAAAAATATTCTACAATATCAAATATGTTTCCAAGGTTACCATATTTTAAAGGAATAATGGTTATATTTATTGAGGTCTTACATGCCAGGTCCTAGATTGGAAACTTCATAGGCATTATGGGTAACTCCAAAATGCTTTCTATCTATACATCACAGAACCATGAATTGGAACAGCCATGATGTGAACTCAGTTTATGGATCTAAAAACTGTGCTCCTTTTGCCATGCCACATTGCTGCTTTCCTACTGTTGGACTTAAAATACTCAGGAGTGCCAAAGCACAGTGAATTTTATCAAAATGTAAGACCTTTGTGCCCCACTGCCTCCTGCCCTAACCCATGGATACCTCATGCACAGCATGGCCAAAAAAACAAAAAAAAAGAGGTATTCAATAATATCGGTTCAATTAGTCAAAGATGAGAGATGATGCTAACTACAAGAGGAGTATTGAAAGCTCTAGTATTAAGTAAACCTAGAAAAGCCTGAAGAAACTACATAATATCTTACGACCTATCATGACATCTTTTGACCTCTCAAGGAGTCAGCTTTACAGACAACTTTGAATGTCCCTTCATTTGACTGTAAGAGTGTCAGATGTCAGATGCCCTCTCTTTACTCAACAGCTGTTCTTCTGGATGCCTGCTCAGCAGTCTCTGTCCCCATCATTTCAAAAGATTGTTCCAATGGTTTTAAATTCTTCATGATCCCTTGATGAGCATCAGAATGTTATTTTTTTCCCCTAAAGACTAAGTCTGTAAGGGTCTTTCAAATGTTAAAGTGATCATTTATATATGACAATTCACATGGTTCATTTATAGTGGGTAAGAAACAGCAGTACATGTCATACTTCTAATTAAATTTAATAAGGAAAACATCTTGAAGGGTTGCTTTTCTTTTTTAAAGTATGGTTGGGTATTTCTTTATTTTGTTTATTTATTTTTATGTGGTGCTGAGGATCTAACTCAGTGCCTCACATGTGTGAGACAAGTGCTTTGCCACAACCCCAACCCTTGTGGTTTTTTAAAAAAACTTTTTAATTTTGTTTTGTTTTGGTAAGCAGTGATTTTCAGTTCAGAAGTCAGGTGATAGTACTCCTTGAAATTATGCCTATTTTATTGAATGAATAAATGATTGAGTAAATGAATGAATGACAATCCCCATGTAGCCTTTCAATTTCCAAAAAGA